TCGTCTCCTCTCGCCGCTCTCCCTCGTGCCTGCGTGCTCTTTCTCTATTCGCTACGAGATCGTTGCTCGACGCGTCGCGACGGATGCACCGTGACCCCGTGACAGGGGAATCCTGTGACGAAGGAAACGAGCGATCGGAAATACGCCATTCGATTTACGTGTGCGTTACTCTAATTTTTATTATCATCTTAAACTCTATAACATGAATGCGTGCATTAGACGAGGTTTAAATCGCGATTCATGATTTAAACAACACCGGCAAGAAGCGATGGCTCAGCTGTAAAATATTTTATCGATTCACCGAAAACGACCGATTCTGAATGCACCCTTGACAATCGCGTATTGGTATCGGTTGTCCACGTAGCGCAGGGGAATAGGTGCATGGGAACCGCCAAAATTGGAAAGGCAATAAGGGTGTACCGAGGGTGCAGCTCGAGCGGCTCGTGACTCATGGGGGTTGCCTAGCGACCCCAGAATCCAGCTCTCTTTCTTCCGTTTGTCAGCCCGCGCGCGCGTGCGTCTCTCTCCCTACCAATCCCCCTATTTACTGGCTCAGGCTCCGGCTTCGGCTCGTGCTGCCTTCCTCTTCTCCCCCCAGCCCCTCCAACAACCAACTTGGCTCGTTCCAGCCGTACAACACCGGGTCTCTCTCGGGCCTCTCGTCCCTCTTCCTTCACCTTTCTACTTCGTTCGCTTCTGTCCGTCTCTCGAAATACCAACGCTCCCACCTCCTTCTCCTCCTTCTTCCAGCCTCCGTTACGCTATTTTCCACCTCCACCCCGGCCATCTCCTACACCGTTACCGCGTACACCCCTTTTTCTCCGTTGTTTCTTTTTCTACCTGATCTCTTTTCCATTCGACGCCCCGTAGTACTCTTCCGTAGGCTCGTACCATCTCCACCCACCCCTGCCTCGCATGTCCGCTCCCCTTTCTCTGGACGATCGTCCACGATCCCTCTCCCGTTTTACCTCCACAGTCCTGGGACTATTTTTCCACCTTTCCCTCCCCTTTTTCCTTCCTTCCTTCCTTCCTGCCATCGTTTCTCGCTCCCTTCCCTTCCTGCCAATGAGTACTTCTCTTTGGTTTTCCGCGTCTTTTCGTTACGCGCCAGAATCGAGAATATGATACTCTTTCCTCTTCCAATCTGCTCTGTTCCCATGCTCCCTTCAGATCTATTCGTCGCTCTCCGATCCCCTCTACTTCACTGTCTGTCCTTTCTCCGTTTACTCTACACCTACATACAGTCCACGAGTTTCCGTCCCTTCCTTCGTTCGAGAAATTCCCCTCGCCGCCCTTCCGCGAGAAACTAGCCCTGCTGCTGCTGCTGCTGCTGCCGCTGCCACCGGTGCCGGTGGTGCTGCTGCTCTCGCAACGAGGCCGTGGCCCGAATTCTATCGACCCACGGTGTGTATGTGTGTCTGCGTGTGTAGCTACTATCAACAGTCTTCAGCTTCATTCACTCGCCCAAAAGATCCGGTTAAGAGATTGCGTACGCACACAGAAGACAGGCACGTGTTTTTGTTTTTGCGACGCTGCTGGCCGGCTTCCGTCACGGGGGTGCTCTCGAGGATCACCAGCCATTCGTCGTTTTTTACGATCGGACGCGTCGCCAACGCCAACGCTGACGCCGACGCCGACGGTGAGCGAATTACAAGCATCGTTTGATTTCTAACGATTCCTAATAATTTGGCAGACATCCTTATTCTCGATGAAAAAAAAAAAACAGTTTCGTTTTCGTACCTCTGTATTTTCTTAAATGAAATTGTCCGAAAAGGAATTATGTAAAACATACATGGATGGGAATTTAGAAATGATTGAGTAAAAACAAAACATGGTTGGTAAAATGCATCCAAGTTTGAAATTGGTCGAAACGTCGGCCAATTCCCATCTAGAATGGCAATCATCACCTCTGCCAACGTCGATAACGCTCGTTGCCTCAGGGCAATTTAATTCAAACATAAAAAATAATCCCTTTGACGATAGGTGGTAGTCGATTGGAACTGAGCCAGCGCGTACGCCAGTGACGGCGTGCAGACCATCATTGCTACATGACCAACCTCCATTTTCCATGAGATCTTAATAAAAATTCTTTTCACAGTTACAAACATTTCGAAAACAATTATTAATGTTAAACATCACCAAAATTCATTCGATATAAATTATTACATTCTTTTATCTATCTTATGTCATTTATTATAATTTAGTTGAAACATGCTAAGATGATTAATAGGCATTTCGTGGTCTTAATAACGTAACCGCGTGTGACGACATCTCCTTGCACGTTTGACAGCTGAACAAAGAAAATAGGCCTCGGGAACACAGAGCGCGGAGTAAGTAGTAACCGCCTAACCGGGTCCTCCTGTCTGACCAACAAGTGTCTAATACTACTTACGCACGTCCTCAAACGAGGCAAGCGCCAAAGGCGGTGCGACGGCGCAATGTGTGGGAATGTTCGAAATGAAACCATTTCGAGCAACGCGTTATTACAATCGGTAATTAAAAAAAATACTCAGCTCGTGAAAAATTTCCATTTTCCATCGTATTCACTGTAAAATACACACGAAGGATATTATTTTTTTATCATTCTCGAACGTACTGAAATTTGTACAACGCGCGTGTGCGCGTTAACACGTACATGCGTCTATGGTTTACACACTGACCATGTTAATTACGCGTTAGTTGCGTACTGTAGTGCTGGACTAATACGGCCGCAAATTCGTGATGCTGCACGTCGATGTACGAGTACGTGGATGACTGAATTTCTCTGGGCGATTGCTATTAAATCTTGTAATTTTCCTCTAATGGACTACTACCGGTTAATAAATTGTGATGTACGCGTCTGATGGGAATATAAAATGGAGAACCGAAAAGCTCGATCGAAAAATTTTAAAATTAAAAAGGGAAGCTATTTGTGGTTATAAGAGAAAGTGCGGCAAAGGAGAGACAGTGTTCATTTCCTCTACAGGAAAAGAACTTTCAAAATTGAAAGACGACTCAGCTGGTACCAGTAGCTGGGTGGAGATGATTATTAGAAAAACTAAAGAGTGTGCAATCGACGATATCAAGCAACCGGTGCGTCAAAGAAAAGAGAACGCTTATACCGATTCCATCATCGAAAGAAAATTAGCTTGACCCTTATGCAAGATTTAATCTCTCCAAGTCGAGCAAATGAGTTGATAAAAGTACAGGGACAGATGATAAACCTGTTTACCAATTCGCTCGCATTTTCTCTCAAGCATTGACCTTTCTTAATTGCTTTTGTTCTCTCCAAGCCTGTGAAAGACGTTCTTCCACGGTGATAAGAATGACATCGGCCACCCAGCCGCGTAGCGTTCGCGAGCGGAGCGGATTTTAATTTTCCTTCGTTTCCTGCTTACCCTCGTTGGGATTTTCAGACGGGAAAAGGCTCGGCCGAGCTCTGCTAAAATAGATGTAATATGCACGTGCTATGTAATACGCTCGCGGCACACGCTCACGCCCGCGCTGAGAGCACGCAGCTGGTTGGTTGCCGCGGAGAGCAAGAAACGAAAATGGCGCGACGTAAACGAGCCGTTCCGCGAGTAGAGGATGGGAAGGGAGAGATCAAAGTCAATTTTTTTCCGCTCGCACCAACGAGAAATAATCCTGTAAAAGGGCTTCCGCCCTCCGCGAGACGTAAATCCCTCGCCGGGTACACCGAAAAGAGCTTGAACTTGAAGTTTGTTGACCTCTTTTAGTAATAATGTTTAACCGAGACGCGTTCTACCCTTGTTGCGTCATGTTAAATGCAGTAGCTACGTTTGAAACGCCCAAATGAGTTTGAACCGGATGAACCCTCTTGTTTTTGGGCGACTCTGGATGACTCCTGGGTAAAAGGAGAATGACGAGGGAGTTCGCGGGAAAAAGCGGGAGGGCGAGGCTGCGTAGCAGAAACGGAGAATTGGAAACACGTTACCGTGACGGTTACGGACGCGGTGCAAGGTGGATGAGGGGACGAGCGAATGAATAGAAGAGAAGGAATTAGGAAGGGAGTAACGAAGCAACGAGAAAGATAGAGAGACCCAGATCTACCCGTGAAGGTTGCTTCGACGGAAGAGGCAGAGGATGGTTGTACGCCCTTGAAGACGGGCAACAGGAGCGTACTATATGCATTCCTTTAGATAGAGACGGGAGAAGAGTGCATCGCCGAAACGGATAGAATGGCAGAAAGCGAACGAGCTCGAAGGATCGGAAAAAGAAGACGTAGATCGGTGAAAAGAAGAAAAGAGAGGTGGAGAGAAACGTGTGCGCGCGGGTACCACAGGGGCTCGATTTTCTGGGTGACGCTTGCGCGACGCGTGTTAAAGCGCGCTCGCGCCGTCGACCAGCCACCACCAGTATCACCACCCCCTGCGTCTCCTTCGCTCCCACCCTCTCGAGCGGACGGCGCGGTTCCGAGATCTGGGCAGAGCGTGATGCGACGGCGTAACGGCGCGGCGGCGCGGCGCGGCGACGAACGGATAAACGCGCGAGCACCGGCAAAGAAGCGGAAGCGGCACCGCCATCAGTGTGATCGCGGGCATCGCGAGGCTTGGTCCTGGTCCTGGTCCTGCGCCAACGGCGTATGCGGGGCGGCCCGGCCGGGGTGGCCAAAGTGGTAAAGAGCCGAAATACCGTGGATACCGCGCTAAACGCGAAATCTCGTTGTACCAGACCTGTTCGTTTACGGCGAGAGACGATACACCGACGCGGCGGTGGCCTGTTCCGTGATGCGAGCCCAGAGAATGCTCCCGTGCTCCTGGAGGGGATCGACTCGCGAAGGGGGAGGCTCCAGAGCCGGCATCCGCGGTTCTAGGGTGGAAACCAACACGCTCTGTGTCGGAGTCCCGGATTTTGGTGGGGGATTCGGAGAGGGCTAAAACGAGGAAGGCAACTCGGCGGGAGGGAGACGATCCCTGGGGCACTAGCAGGGGGATTGGGGGTTGATATCGAGGGGCAGGGCTAGGTAGGCAAAGACTGAGAGGGCGCAGTGGTCCCGCGACCATCAAACCAACAACACCGTCCTGACACAAAACGGCGCATCCTGCTGCGCCCCCTTCTTCTTCTTCGTCTTTCTCGTCATCCTCCTCCTCTTCTTCTTCTCCTTCCTCTTCTAATTCTTTCGCCGCCGATTCCTTTCTTATACACCTGAGTCCGCCTCGGCCGTTGCCTCTGCTTTTTTGTACCCTTCATCTCCTTCTCTCCTTCTTCTTCGTCCTCGCCGCATCCTGATAAAGTAATCACCGGTGTTCTCGAGTTCGGACAGCTTCTCTTTACGCTTTCATCCATACTGTAGGAGGTATTGAATCCAACGGGGATTCCGCGGAGATTTCGAACATCCGGAATTTGTCCACTGGACCCGAAGAGGATGACAAGTACGGTTTCTTCGAAGAGGATGGACCAAGGGAATACGACTCATCCGGTACGGTGACCTGTATTTGTCGAGGAGGATGGAAGAGGATCTAGAGAATGTTTGGATGAAGATCTGACGGATTCGAGGTGAATCAAGTTCGTTCACAGGTAAATCATCTCAGCACTTATCTCATGATGGATTAATTTCAAGGTCAGTGCTTGGTCGGAAAAGATTTCAACACTTTTCCGGTCACGCGTATTCTTTTCTCAATATCAATTCTGCTCGTAGCGATCCGTCAAAATCTTTGATCTCGTAATTTTCCTTTTTACTTACTGGTATCTGGGCTAGTTCAAGGTTACGTATACTCGAAGGGAGTGACGTTTACGAAGTTTCAGGGTCATCTACATACGCTTCGAGATTTCTAAGACATTTAGCTCGTTTCTGTTAACGAGGGAATTATTGATTAGTGGTATTTAAATATCAGTAACTAAGTCGCTCGCATCCTTTCGCTGATGCATTTTTATTTGTCGATAATAAATGAGAAAAGAAGTAATTAGAAATTATATTCCTCAGACTCTGATAATATTATTTTATTTAGTTATTTGAAAATTCTTCGTGTATGCGTATACCGCCCACCGTGGTCTTTGGTTACGTAGAGTTACATCATCCGCGAGTCGCTTCAGTCTGACGACATATGGTCCATGACGAATTTCAATAGAAAATAAATATCCGCATTAAACGAAATAACCATATGTTACCGCATTACTAACGCTTCCTTTGACCCCGACACATCGTTCTGAAAAAAGCATCCCTACCAATCGGCTCCTTTTTAAACCAATCTATCTTTGTCATATATCCGTATCCGACTGATACGTATACGTCTGTAATAAGTTGCATAATATCTCGGCAACGTAGCTCATTTATCTGGATTGTTATTCATCATTTGCTAAAAGAGTATAAAAATGTTTACGAGCACTTCTCCTCGGGGTGGCGTAACGATACTCGTACTTTAACTCAACGTAACGTGACTTAACATCTCGGTTTGTATGACACCCGGTAGACAAGGTGTTCCCCTATTCCACGTAAGTACATTATGGTGTGTACTGTTGTTTTATCAGTAGTGCAGGATCGCCATGGCTACGAAGTATGAATAAGCCGTTACCGGCACGTCGCCGACTAGCTGCCTAATTACCATTTTCGTAATTTTCTGTCACGAGACTGACTTTCGATCGTCCTACTCGAAATCGACACCTCGATGAACCCGCGACGAAAAAATCTCTTACGTCCAACTGACTAGCTCAATTTTAAATGCCCCTTTCGTCTATTTGATATCCTGATACTAAAGTATTCAATCTCATGTACAATTCTTCCGAATAGTCGGGTATTCAGTTTCGCTTACGTATCGGAGAGTCAGATAATAATAGTAAGATAAATTTGGCGTCTCAACAGCCATAATTGCTCGAAACTAGTCTGGTGGATCGAACAATCCCGTCGAATAGGTACAACTTATCGGATTGTCAATATGTGATCAGCTGACGAACTCGACCGCGCTGGATTCCTATTTATATCCGATCGGACGAGACTGTTCCGACTCATAACGTCGCGACGCTTTGAATACGTTACAAGATTCGATTAGCAACTGATACAGAATGCTCAACCTCCTTGACTTAATCCATTAGCCTCGTCAATTATATAAAATTAATCCCTATATATATGTATTTTATATAAATTGTCTCGATTCTCGAAACTCATTATGATTATTCTCATTCTATATCTGTATATGATAGTCCTATTCCATTGCAATTTTTATGCACCCAATTCAACTTCGAATTAGTATCAGAGCCAGGAAGAAAAGAATTTGTAACCGGCTGTTGCTGACCTACGACCATACAGCTGTTGGCCTGCTGCTAGGACCGAGACACTTCTCTATATGAAATCAGCCTCACCTTTGTCACATATGTCATTCCCCTTTACGTTCTACTGCCTTCCCCCTTCTACCACATACTCTCTCCTCCCGACGAAGTCGTCACGACTCTCGCGTTTCGTTGATGAGAATTGTTTATTTGTTTCAGATACCAGGTAGAACCATGGCATGGTTCGTCGGCCCGGTACCAAGGTTTCTCATGAATGGAGGAGGGTTCAGCAGGATCGATGAAGAGGGCGTGTCTTCAGGGGAGGATTGGTATCCGTGACGTTTTCAACCCCACCTGAGAAGGTCGCAAACAGAGCGCACGTGCTCGATTACGTCACAAGGATAGCCGGGCTGAAGCACGAGAGCAAACCCATTCAGTGATCCTGTTTCTCGCCAATGCTATTCCGATTCGACGTTCCTATCTCTCCACTCTTTGCTTCTCGACTCTCGGCTAACGCAGATCCATCTCATACATTATGTGCATCAGTACGGTAAGAATCGTCTCCTCCCCTTCTGTTTTGATCCAGAAAAATTTGCCTCGGTTAAAAAATGAATCTTTAGTCATTAGGAATATCTAATTATACGGTGCAACGGTCTCTTTGCTTTATCCTCTGGCTCTTCTGACTCTGTGAGTCAATATTCTCATTATTCTTCTAGATATCTATGTACATTGTAATACATAAACGTTAAGAGTTCTCCAATATTCTGAGACTATAAATAGTCCAAAAATTCTGTTCGCGTTCTGGACATTTATCGGTTGTGTAATTAATCTCGCCACACTCGGTTTGGCGACCTCATTCTTTCAAGACATGAGAAGACAGGCAAAATTTTCTTGCACGTATTACACTCTATAAATATAGTAGGTAATAAGTTCGTCGTTTCTCGTCTCCATCTTCGTCGGGCTCTTGAGATCTCGAAAATCGTTTCAGAATCGATCGTCCTAAATTCGTTTCCCCTACTCCTCTGCCGCTTCTATATGAGAATCTCTTTCCTGGAAAATTAATCACACTTTCTCGACGCCCATCGCTGCAGATGTCGCGCATCGACCGGCATTTAAATGACTCGGCATTATACTATAACAAATTCCACGTCGAAGATCGTCCCGTTCGAGGGTTAATAAGCTGAGATCGGTCTCGATGCTCCGTGTCGGGGGTAAGGGGCGCTAGAAGAGGGTGGCCGGGTCGGGAGAGGTGGGCGCAGCGCGGGGTGAGTTTAAATCGATGGATGAGACCCCCTTCTCCCTTTTGGTAACCCTGACCCACAGTTCTGGCAGACGAGGTCCCAGCCCTTCGAGGGAATGAACGGAGGCCCATTGTGTGCCACGGAAACCAACCCCGCGTTACGTTTTCTTCCTCGGACGTGAATCGACCTTTAGGGCGATTGTAGCTTTCGAGCACGCGGTCGTTCGCTCGCCGCTGGACCCCGTCGCATCGCACGCACGCACGCACACGGACACCCTTCCGAGCACGAGACACGCGCCCTTTAAAACGAGTAACACCCTTCCCAACGAGCTTCTTTTCGGACGAGTTTCGGTCCGCGAATTCCCCCTTGTAACCAGTACGTCTATACTTAACCATTCTCTGGGACACTCGGCCAGTCGCCTCTTCACCAGTCGAAGATTATGTACGCTCCCCTCTGTTGTGAGATGACGTGCACTCCTCGTATCGTCTTCGGCATCGCCGGTTATCTCGTCCTTTCTCACCTCGACGATGAACGGGTTCGTTAAAGGGACTTCATGTTGTCTGGGTTGGACAGACTTTTTTTATTGAGAGAAGTTTCGTCACGGGGTTATAGCACAGGGGAAAGTTAGGACTCGAACACAACTATTCGCAGAAGTTGTGCTTACACTTTCTCAATGACACGTTTTATCAATGAAACGGTTTTTTCTAAATGAATTATTAAACCACGTTCTGCTTGGGATCGCGATCAAACAAAAGATTCCATGTTCTCGTATCTCGTCCTCGATTTCTATGTTCGAGCAAAGTTCATTCATCCGATCAACGTAACACGAATCCAATCGGAACGAGTAATCGATCTGTAAACCGTAAAAGCCTCTCGGTCGAATTTCGACGACCGTGTCGAACCGCGCTTTAGCGTCAGACACGAGACGATCATCCATCAGGATCGGCGTCGATATTAGTTAGAGCATCCCATATGTCCCTTTCCACGGTATGAGAAGAAAAAATACGGAATGGGGTGGCGTTCTTGATTATGCGAATATCTACAGACAATGGAACCCCAACGTCAGCTGCTCCCCGGCCGTGTGGACGTGGATATCACGGGATCGTACACCCTCCGCGAAATAAGCAATAAGTTATGGTGGAACTGACGAACCCCCCGCAGATCCCCCACCTCATCCCGCGCCCACCCAGCCCTACTCCGGTGCCTCACACCCCCTAGCCACCCCTGCCTGATCGTGGGTCCATGGAACGAGTGGTATCGTTCCATAGTATAGTTTCGACGCTCATCAAGCTCGCTTCGTATTGCGACGGGCATCGCGGAGTGCTCACATGCGTTTTCGCTTTTTTGCCTCCTTCCTGCTTCCGTACTCTCGATGTACCTACCATTGCGCGTACGTGTATATCATCCACCGCTCGCGCATCGAATACGAGACGACCCCGTCGAACGTGACGCGCCGGGATACTCTTCGCTGTGTACATCTACACGCAGCTACCTCGATCGCTTTTATCACGCATAGTACTCTCCGTGAATACGTCGCATAACGGTGATACACGTAGTCATTAATTAATCGTAGTGTTATAATGTTGAATAAGTTAATTACGATGTTATTATTCTTATAATATTATTACTGTTCTTTTAGTTCTTTTTTTTTTTATTTGAACATGTACTACAAAGATTTAATGTGTGGTTGAATAAGGGAGTAGCAGAAATTGAGAACAGTGAACGCTTAGAGACTCGGTGATGGATTACGTGAAGAGGAATAAGGGACGAACAAGTGAGACGACGTCGGGAAGCTGGTACGAGGAAGATGCGTGAGTCTGTGCTCCTCGTGTTCACTGCGGGCCTCCATGTGCCAACTTATCAAAATTCATAAGGCACGCGGTGAATGCCAAGAGCGGGCCAAATACAACGTTCGCCCAACCGTATTCGCGGCATCCGATCTTGGACCGGGAACGGACTTCGGCGTTTTTACTATTCGCGCTCGTTCACTGTTTCAACGACAGGTCAGTAGTTAGTTGAAACTTCCACGCATCCACGATTTTGATTCACGTAGACCGACGATATCTGTCTTGTAAATTAGATTGTTGTCTACTGTAATTAAACTTACAAGCTAGACAAGAGTTTGGTAGTGTGAGTAGATACTCCAGTGATACATTATTATAGAATGTTATTTTGTAGATGATTAAAATTTGTTTTGTTTAAGCCAAGTTTTGAGTTGCTGTAAAACGTCATGTACGACGTTATGTATAGTAATAGAAATGGCTCCTTTTCTACTGTGTACATATTTACTATGCGTCCTTTTTAATATGTAATAAAAAATCACATCGTGTTAACCTGCATTTGTTGTAATTGCGTCTCTCACAATCAGTCACTTTTCCATCACACGATTTTCTTTCGTTCTCTCTCTCTTTCTCTCTCTCTCTCTCTCTCTCTCTCTCGTTGTCGAGCTCCGTCCTCCCGATTGCTCCAGGTAAGGTAAGGAACCTTGAACTTTTCCCATCATCATCCGGCGCAGGATCGTGTCCGACAATTTTTCACACGGCCAACGGGGAGAAGATCCCTCGAACCCTCGTCACCCTCGTGCGATCGTACAAATCGCATAACGCGCCATCGGCTCAGTCCCGTCTATTCGACCCTTCACCCTGTCCGCTGGATCATTCCCAACGTCGCGTCGCGTTTCGGTCGTCCAGGCGCGCGTAATTGAACCTCATCATTTATTTTTCCAAAGAAAGACAAACTTCCTTGATCGATCAAATCAGGCGCGTAACGAGCATGGAGAGTACTCATGTACGTACAGTTGGCAATTTGGTCGTTTAAAGTGTCCCACGAGCTGGAGTAACGCGGCCCGGGCCGAGCGGGCAAAGTGCTTGAAGACAGCAGCCCGGTGATGAAAATTGGGGAATTCCCGAGCGAGTACGACGAAAACGGCAGCTTGTATCGACCGAATCTTCATCCGCGGAACGGGCAAATACGGGCTGCCGTTAAGAGAGAAAGAGAGCGGCGGGATGGGGGTGGCAGGAGGTGGACGGAGTGGTTTAAGGGTGGACGTACGTTGCCTGGCAACCCCATCCCTGCTCGCAGCATCCCCCCGTGGACCGCCGCGACCTCAGCGACGGTGCCACGTTACCAATACCAACGGGCCTCGGTGCTGCTCCCATCTTCGTACCCGCCGACTTCTCTCTACCGTTTTCTACCCTGTCCTCTTCTTATCTCTTCTTTCTCCGACGATCCACCGTGCAGTCTTCCTCCATTATTCAAATCCGATACTCAAACTGCACGTCTCGTTTCGACCAATTTTTCTCTCGTACTTTTTATCAACTTTCCGCGAGGTTTACCGGGGAGTCCATGGATAATGGATGTCTGAGAAGGCGAATTAGAGGCGACGAGACGACGACGCGACGCGACGAAACGAGACGAGATGGAACGGCAACACGGAGAGACGAATTAGTGAGCATGATGATTGCAACATAAGGGGAACGATCATAAAATCTTTTCCTGTGCTCTTCCCTTGAATAATCCGTAAATCCCGATATCTCTGTATGTAAATCTTCTGCACATACTCTTTTAAAAGTCCATCCGATTCTCCCTTCGCGTTTTTCTCGTTGGACAAATAGCCGGTCGGATTAAAATGCTCGCCATCGCCGTCTACAACAGCGAATTGATCAGGTGGAGAAATAAAGAATAATCCCCGCCAACACTTTTTCCATTCTAATTCCCGTTCTTCTTTTTCCCTCTAAACTTTTTGTCTCTCGGTAGACCCTTCGCGTTACAATGAGAAAAAAGTAGATGAATATTTTTCATCTCGCAATTCCTTTCCAGACTGAATCAAATTTGTATACATATTATTTATCGTTGCTAACCATTTTCACGATGCCATCAGTCTTCCTGGCTTTAGCTCTCTATAAAATAATCTGAGGGAGATTCATAAGCTCCGCTTGGCGAGATGATAAATTTCATCTAGAGAAAAAAGTTCCCATCAAGACCTTCCAGAAGTTCTACACGCCGCCACCTCGTCAATCAAATTCTTTCCACGACGAAAGCATTTTCGTTATCTATCTCGAAAAAGCCAGGAGCTGGTCGAGCGCGAATGGCGAAAGGCGAAAAGCGAAAGCAACCCCGTGATAATTTATGCACGGAGAACCGCGCACTGGTTCCCATCATCGGAGACCGGTCGGTAGACCGGGGCCGAAAGTAAAAGGTCCGCACACCGTTACTCGAACCACCCTCGCGTTCGAAATTCTCTCGCTTCATCTCCTCGCGCGCGACAAAGTAATTCAGACGAAGGTCACTCTCTGTTCTGTACTCTCTATACCAATAAGAGAAGGTTTGCACAGCGAGACGAAAGAGTAGGCGACCCGGTCGGTCCACCCTCCCGGGCCGCGGGCTCGATCAGCGAATAAATTTCATTCAGGTAACACGTATCTCGGCACGAAGGGCGCACGTTGATTGCAAATTAGTTGATGCTACGCGACTGTGCGGCGCGATTAAGGATGTATTGGCTATACAGTCAATCCCAAAAGTTTATGTACCTTAGAAAAACGCATTTCCCTATAATTAAAAAGAAATCAGACGTCGGAAGAATAATGCTAATAATAAATAGCTACGGGCTAAAAAGTATAGAAGGAAATGTCCAATTAAGTATTGACGCTGACGAAAAATTTTTTTCTTCAAAATTTCGACAAATGCTTCAAATAAAAGTTATTTTCCTTCTAATTTCGATATTTAACGAGTTACGTATGATTATTTGGCATTTTATTGATGTTGACAAAATCCGATCATTCCAGCGTCGAAAC